AACTGATGAAAGGTGATCAGCACATACGACCGTCTCCGCAGTCGATTCCAGTGAAAGCAGTTGGTGACCTGTGGTCTATAGATGTAATGGGACCTTTTCCACAGACGTCCAGTGGCAACCAGTACCTTCTGGTAATAACAGAATATGCTACCCTATGGCTAGACGCCGTCGCGATCCCGGATCGACGAGCGAATACAGTGACAGAAGGAGTGATTCTACATATTGTTGCAGACCACGGTTTGCCAGCTTTTGATTTGATTACTACCTTTAACTCTTTTCCAACGTGATCCCATGTCGGCTAACACTCCTCATCGAGGAAGGCAATGACTTGGCCTGCGCGACACGTGCCCTAGCCATCTAGATCGATCTATCTTCACAACCTTATCGATTGAATTTCCCTCCTTACGTAACACTCGGTGACTAACGTCAATATTACTCACCACATTATACCAGTTAACAGAGGTGATGAAATGCAAACTCCTATAATCAAAGATAGGCAAAGTTTTCATATCTTCCACATTTTGTATGGTCGTCATTAGATATTCCTGATGCAAGTCAATTTTGTTATAATCATGTCGACTGTCAGTCAAATTGGCAATTAGCAATTTTACACAGTTACTTATAAGGGACGAAATTTATTCAGGTCACATTATGGAATCTTCTTGATATCAAAATGTTGTTATCATGAGGAAAGCATGCATAAAATTGCCTACTACCACCGATTGATTGAGATGAGTAGTAGTAGTAGTAGTAGTTGTGTACCACTCACATAAACCAGTAGTACTTGCTTGCTAGCCAACCAGATTATCGAAGAGATTTAAACACCAAAGTCGCGTTTCACGCATTCAGTCTCGAACTTGTCGGCGGTACACTGGTTCTAAATTGGCCCAGAGAATCAAATCAGTTCAAATCACGCCGTTATTCTTGCTAACTATACTTGGGCGAACTGGTTTGCATGTTTAAATCGAAATCACACTTTGGAATTTACACAGTTCGAGGAGGTGAAATTCCATCATAGTTTCCTTGGAAAACTGTCAGAGAGAGGTTGCGCTTACATTAACGAATTTGGGTGCCTGTATGTATATCTTGAACAAATTGACAATAAATACGTTTGTCAATATTTTCATTTCAGATTGTTGTTTGCCTTTGAAGTCAGTTTGCCACAGATATTTCATGTATCAGAGTAATTAGTTACAGGATTTCATCATGAACTGACATCATCAGTAAGGACCCGCCTCCAGGATTCGAAGCTAGTACCTTCCGGTTACGAGGCGAGCTCGTGTAGGAAGAACTAGCTAAACACATATCTGAGTTTGACAGCTGCGCTCATCCTGAAGAAGCCTGGAAAAATATTAAGTCAGCCATAGATACAGCTGTAAAAGCTGTGAATAAGGTAAATCCAAAGGTGAGTAAAAACCATTGGATTTCGACTGCCTCATCCGAACTGATAGATGCTAGAAGACTTATTCCGGCGAGCTCCGAATTCAATGAGGAGCGGAAGCTGCACAAAAGAAAACTTACGAAAAGTCTCCGCAAGGACCGTGAACAGTGGTGGTTGACAAAGGCGAAAGAGATGGAAAAAGCATCGGCGATAGGCAACTCTTTAGACTCATCAGGGAAACGGGTGGGAGAAAGCAAATCATAAGTGAGACTATTTGTGAGAAAAATGGCTCCTTAATTAGCTCTCAGGATAGACGCCTCAAACGCTGGAAAGAACACTTCGAGGAACAGTTTAACTTGCCTACAGCCACACTGAGCGTCCCCGCCATCCAGCAAACACCCGAATGGGACATAGACACTGGCCCACCGTCTGTAAGTGAGGTCACCAAAGCTATCTGTAATTTGAAACGAGGCAAAGCGGCAGGACCCGACGGAATTATTCCGGAGGTGTTTAAATATGGGGGTGACATGCTAGTATATAGTTTAACTAAGGTACTAGGTAACGTCTGGGAATCAGAGACGGTTCCATCAGACTGGGGTAAGTCACTTATTATACCAGTATTCAAGAAGGGAGACAAGTCCTCATGTGATAATCATAGAGGAATCAGCCTAACGAACATAGTCTCTAAAATCCTAGGCTCAGTAATCATGAACAGACTAAGCCGAACACGAGAGGAACAAACGAGGGAAAATCAAGCGGGCTTTAGGCCAGGTAGAGGGTGCATAGATCATATCTTCACTCTCCGACAGATCCTAGAACATAGGCACACTTTTAGGCGTTCAACAATTGCCATATTTCTTGACTTGAAGGCGGCCTTCGACTCCGTGGATCGAGAGGTTCTATGGCAATGTTTGACTATGAAGGGAGTGCCAAGAAAGTACATTGCACTAATCAAGGCACTCTACTCAAACTCACGTAGCTGTGTAAGGGCTTATGGGGAATTGTCATCTGAATTGATAACAACCAGTGGTGTCCGTCAAGGATGTCCACTTTCCCCTTTTCTGTTTAACTTCATCATAGATATGCTAATGGAAGTATCCTTAACCGAACGTAACGACTTAGGAATCGACTTGTTACCAGGGAATAGTCTTATAGACTTAGAATACGCAGACGACATAGTCCTGTTAGGGGAGGGCGCTGACAAAATGCAGAGTCTTCTGAACACCTTGAGCAGCAATCTTCGTATGTTTGGCATGCGATTCGCCCCTGTGAAATGTAAGATGCTGCTACAGGACTGGACTACGTCAACTCCAAGCTTAGTGATAGGGAGTGAAGTGATAGAACATGTTGACCACTTCACCTATTTAGGAAGTTGTATCAGCACCAACGGATTGATTGGTGACGAAATCACAGCACGGATCCAGAAAGCTAGGGCTGCTTTCGCTAACTTACACCGTCTTTGGCGTAGGCGTGACATCCGACTGTCAACCAAGGGACGTGTATACTGCTCATCAGTTCGCTCCGTCCTTCTCTATGGCGGTGAGACGTGGCCATTGAGAGAGGAAGACATGAAGAGAATGTCTGTTTTTGACCACAGATGTTTACGATCTCTTTCTCGCGTTAGGTGGTATAATAAGGTAAGTAATGTTGACGTTAGGCGTAGAGTGTTGGGCAAAGAGGGAAAATCACCCGAAGAGGCTATGAAGTTACATAGATTGAGATGGTTAGGCCACGTGCTGCGCATGCCTAGCCATCGTCTCCCCCGATGGGCATTACTAGCTGATATAGGTGCAGGTTGGAAAAGAGTAAGTGGTGGCCAAACAAAAACATGGCACCAGTCAATCCATGAAATCCCTGACAGTTAAACTGAGTCAGGTAGGGAGATGCAGACTTCCGGGTTGGGGCCCTCGGGACTCTAAGAATCAATGGCTGGAGACAATAGGTGACATGGCTCAAAATCGTTGTCAATGGCTTACGCAGATGTATTCAGTCTCTGTAATCTTTCATATTCCTTTCTATCATTACTCATTCTGTTTCACTCTTATACTTGTCAAAACTCTATTGATTCCCTGCACTCATCTTCTTGTCTTCCTTGTGTGCTATTTGGAACGTGGCAACTCGAACTGCTGCACTTCGGTGCCAAGTTCTATGTTGAATCCAGACAGACAGACAGAGGCGAGCTCGTGTACTGCTAAAAAGTCTCGGAACAGCTACTCAGTACTCCCAGCTTTATACAATGGTTTGTTAACCGATTTCAGCTTATGTTCGAAATCCGGTAACCAATCAAAGCAAAACCATGGAAACGCGAACACTTGAATATCTGAATGAATATTTTCACCAAATCAGAGTATTAGTGATATTTATTCGTTGAGAGCTGATGATACTACCCAGTTTCTTAAACTGAATTAGGGTGAAAACTCACTCGAAACCTTTAATGGGTCTTTATTAATTTTTATTTTTAATTCGCGAAATATACCCGTTAAGACATTGAAATAAGAACAAATTAGTTCAGCGAAGAGTCTCTTTTCGGCGAATTCATTCACTTAGCTGTACAGTCGCAATTATATACAATTAATTTTGTGTGTGTGTGTGAGTGTACATTAGGTTTGTCAAAATCGAAATAACAGTTAGTGTAGGTTGTTGATTACATCATCAAAATAATTAAGAAATTAAAATGTGTGATTAATAATCAAAGTTGTAACTAAGTAGGGTGAAGATTGGTAAGGTGTGAGTAGGGTTACACCATCAAAATAATAAAGAAATTAAGTTGTGTGATTAATAATCAAAGTTGTAACTAAGTAGGGTGAAGATTGGTGAGGTGTGAGTAGGGTTACATCATCAAAATAATAAAGAAATTAAGTTGTGTGATTAATAATCAAAGTTGTAACTAAGTGGGGTGAAGATTGGTAAGATGTGAGTAGGGTTACGTAATATAGACATGTTTAGAAAGATTAGATGTTAGTGAAGGAGTATGGAGACAATTATGAAAATAAACTACATAATAGGCGAAAAGATTGAATGGGTTAGTTACTAAAAATTATTACACGAAAATTGCAAAAAAAAATTTGATAACAAAATGTTGATGACAGATAAACTTGATATTAAACCCACGGTAGTAGGAGGGGGTGGAGAAGTTTCTTCTATGTGCATAAATCAGGCTTTTCTATCCAAATCGCTAAGGCCTCGGCAATACAAAGTATACGGAAGCTTGTTGATTTTGGAAGGCTTCTTTTGACTTTATAGATGACTTTGTATTATATTACATTAAGAGATTTTTAACCACACTAAAAGTCGGCTACATCAGAGGACAATAAATTGCTCTGATTGGTGGGTTGGTTGGTTGGTGATTGGTGGCTCAATAGTTAAACAATGAGACGAAAAGTTCTCCAACGAGGTTATTTCATATCCATATAGCGTTGTTAACTGCAGCCAGCCGTTGACTTTAAATGTTTATTTTAATTTTTAACCGCTTCCTATCAATCCACATCTATACGCTAACTTATATAATTATACATTTTTTAATGAAATAAAATTGTTTATTCACACTCACCTCATCACATTTGTTGTGTTGCTCTCCCTTTTTCTTGTACTTCTTTCTTTTTTGTTCATTTCGTCTTAGATTGGCATAGGTCTCGTAGCATCAACGGGGATTACAAGTCGTTTTTTAACGCGTTTATCATTGGCTAGTATCCTTCTGAGTCAAATCTACATAGCCTATATATTTGGTGTAGAAAAGCGTCTAGGCTACTCAAGGTGTTTACGTGCTCGTGTTGGCTTAAGATGTCTTGCTACTATTGGGATTTATTTTCGTTTATTAGGCGTAAATATGTATGAAAATGTCAATAGTACTACTATTAATACGACTACTGATCATAATAATAATACTAACAATCATTCTAGTAGTTCGTTGACTTCTCAACTATCTAAACCGTATAGTAATGTGTATGCTTTTGGTTTAGGCATTATGTCTGTGTCAATTAGTATACTGGGTATCTTTTGTATCCCTGTAGAATTGTTCCAGTTGGATGAAGATATCCAATTGACAGAAATTAATTCCCTATGGCCATTATTAGCAGACAGTTATGGTTGTCTGAAGGTGTTTAGTCTTGTTCTTGGTTTATGTATGTTAACGGCTGGTTTCATATATTCTATTCCTGTGATTATACATGATCAACTCGTCATCATCAATAATAGTAATAATCCTAATCATAAAACCTTTTCATATGACAGTTTTTTATTTCGTCTGGCTGATTATCTAGTTGTCTTTTGTTTTGTAATACTTTCATTACTTCGTGATTGTAATTTCAGTTATTGGCGCGTTAAAGGTTGTGAATTTTGGTTAGAAATACGTGTCCTGTTAGAGAATGTCACTGTCTTACTAGGTATTTTTGTTATTAAACATTTGACTACTATTAATCGAATCAGTAGTATGAAAAGTGGAAACAAATCGTGGAAAACTGCAGGAAAGAATTGTAAGTCGACTATTAGAAATGAAAAAGCGAATGCAAAGAAGGATTGATTCATTAATTGATCTATTCTTTAGTTTGTCTTTCCTACTCACCGTTTCTTCTACTTTGTATCTGTAATATCTTTTTTTTCTACTTGTCGACTGCTTTGTAAATTACTGGGAAGATACTTTGTAATGCATTTATTGTAATATTTGATATTTGGATGAATAAAGTGTAATTACTTGGAGTCTGGTGATTTCAATCTCATACACTTCTCGTGTACTTAAAGTTTGTAATTTTTGCAGTTATTAATGCCCAATGTGAACAAAACACTTAATTAACCGAGAAGTCTTGTCGGATCACTTATTGTTTCCTTCTTAACCAGTGACTTAGGTAGGCGATCGCCTTCATCGACAGTTTGTGGTGCCGTCAGTCAGTCACTAACAATGGCGTACATCTAAGAAGTAGGTCATGATAGGTATCTTGACGTCAGCAAGAGGTAGAATCCACTGAATGAATAGGTTTGTGTAAACCTGCGTTCAGTTAAACATATCTTCTGCCGAGGGTTGCAGTGATTTTTGCATTTTGAAGCCTGCAAATTACAAATAGGTTTATTCCAACAATCTTCCATGTGGCGAGAAAGACGCCAACTTCCCCACTAGTGTAAGTAAGGCAGCACGTTCCATTGACTACACGCATAGTGTACAACAATTGCCTACTTCCACTGGCTACGATCGCCACTCATGCCTCCCGACGAGGTACACTATCGTATTCCCTATATTCTTGTTAAAACTTCAGGATTGACGACAGTATTTTATTTCTTTGGCATCGATCGATATTATAATAAGAGTACGAATGCGGATACTTGGCTGCATGACGAATGGACTTCGAAAGAACACGTCAGCCTCTACAATGAGATGTGTTTCACCATCATTTGTGCAGAATCTCTTTCATCAATGAGGGTAGTAATAAAAGTGACAATTTGTCACAATCATAATTGTAGATATTAGTCAGTGCACAAGAGGAATTGAATAAGTGTATTCGAGGTAAGTAATAAAATGAGTAATTTAAGGAATGATTTTTAATCAGGATGTGCATAGAGAGGAAGGAAAATGTGGAAGTAAGTAAGCGTCCTAAACCAATAGAAGAGTTATAAGGAGTCAGACAACCCAGCAAACAAAAATCAAGTCATCCGAAGTCAACACGGTCGTTACCATGGTATTAGAAGTGGTTGAATGATGTTCTTTCGTATGCGAACCTCCGCTCTTTATAACTGTATGCGTAAGGCTACAGAAATGCGCAGACGAGACAAAAGCGTATTGCTAGTATTTGGTGGGTCATCCTTCACTTTGTAGATTACTTTGAAAGAGAAGGCGTTTGTTGACATAGTGTTCAATTATCGCACTCCCTACAAAGTCTCAACGCAACAGTTATGGATCTATTTCCAAGACTTATAGTTTGTAAGTAGGGACCTGGTCGATTTGTAAGTCAGATCCTAAGATGACATCAATTAAAGAACTAGTGAAGACCAGGTAGTACTAGGGAGTCGCCTCGTTCAGATTTGAGGATCCTCCTCTGTGCACAACCGCGATCTTCAAGTTATGAGACAAGCCATTTAACCAATGAGATAGAAACCAGTGGCCCATGGATTCTAATTTCGTCATGAGCTGACTTCAGTTGGAGAACCGTTTGTAAAGCTGCAGTGAGTACTGGACAGCTGTTTCGTCAGCCTGATTTGGGACTCTTCAATAGTGCGTACACACCACCGGTGTTTGGACCCAGAACCTTCCGGTTAGGAAGTGACATCGTAGACCATTCAGCCACTGCGACCCCACCCTATGGTTGATGAGTTCCAACTGGCACTAGCCAATGTCATAGGCGGTGAGTATTTGTCTTCACAGCCAAACTGTTGTACTCGCCTTGTTCCCGGAAGGCCCTAGTTTCGAACGCTGGTAGTGGGTGCACATTGATAATAGTCCCAATCTAGGATGAAACAACTATGCAGCACTCCCAGGTTTTCCAATCTTTCTCTAACCGATGTCAGCTCATAATGTGAAGTCCTGTAATCAATCAAGTCAAATCTCTTCAAAACAACACTTGAATTCTAATTTCTGTCAGATAATGTCATCGACGCTAAGTACTTTATCTCAGATCCTACTTGATAAATCCCACTGATCACAGCATCTCACTAACACTCTAGTTCGTCACTAGTGCACATTAGATAAATTTGTACGTGCAATGCACTCCTTGTTTTTCATCGCTTCTCTAACTACTTTCATCTCGGGATGTGTAACTCAAAATCATAGATGTTACTGAGAGTAGCTCTGTAATGATATGCAGAGAAATACATATGGACAATGAATTTTTGATACATTGTGTTGTAACTGATCGTGTGAATTGAATTAAAACGCATGAACCTGTCGTCTATCCGTTATTCTTCTTTATTTATGACTGATAGTCAATGTAGAGAAGTTCATTAGTTCAAGTTGCCACACTCCATATAGCGTACAAAGGTAGAAAGAAATAGAGATTTGAAAGAACTGTAATAATAAGCAGAAATGTGAGGGGAGGCAGTGGGAAATCATGACAGTTTAGTGGATATAGTCAAATAATAAAGACTGTATGCGTCGGTAGAACAGAAATATAATGCTCGCCGACCACGCATGTGGTCCGGGGTTCGACGCGCTCCCTTACCTCGCTAAGCCAGTAATAAAACTGATAAAGAGGGAAGGTTGTGCATTAGGCTGGCAACCCCATCCCGTAAAAATAAACACCGCTGCTACTGAAACTTGAAGCCCTATATTCCACTGAGAACGTAAAGGAATAAAAAAATAAAGAGTGTTTACATCTTTCTTAATCCATAATCGTTTTAAAGTTAGAATCCAGTTACCAGGATTAGATTTCTCATATCCTCTCAGGCTATGAGTCATGTCTTTTCTGTTGCAGGTGGTCTAATAGTATCTAATTGTCTTTGATAAAGTAATTAGACTAGAGTAAAGAATAGATACCACAATTAAAATGACCTTGAACCAACGAATCACATCACTCAGCATTGCAAGCTTAACCCGACAGGGTTACAGTGAAACTTGCAACGATGAAACGCTGATATTCATCAGAATTAGTGGATCCCATAACTGCTACCCCTACATATCGTGGTCTGTTTACTATCGCCACATTTTTATGGAAAACCCAAGACATATACCCTACATAGTTCATATATATTCAGTAAACATAATTTGTAAACTACAAATGCCACTTTCTACCTAGGAGTAATTGATCGGTTGGTTCAAGGTCATTTGACTGTGAAGTATCTATTCTTTAAAGTTACCAGTATGTGAAGTGCTTTTCGAATCCGTGGCCAGTTATCTAAAAACCAAACAGCCGCATTGACGTAATGACTGAACATGCTACAGATTAAGGCGTGTTTGTCAACTGCTTTATTGATTTATTTGCAAAGATAAAATTTTGTGAACTAATTGAATAGCCAGCAGTTGAAGTAGTCATTGATTTTAAAAACTTTCTTTACAACTGCCTAAAGAAACGAATGGTCACTGGTCTTTTAGATACGCTTCCATGAGTGTTAGTCAAATCCCTGCAAACTAACAGTTGAAAATAATTCTAATGCTCATTGGTAACTGACTACAGAATAAAGTTGCCTGAAGTTCTCAGTGGGACGTAGTGACCAACCGGATCCGCCAAGTGGTTGGGCGTGAGAACAAGTACTCGCCAATGTTATTGGCTGGTGGTTGCGGTGTATGCCACAAATTGGCAAAAGTTAGAATTCATAGACCACTGGATTCTGTTCCAGCAATTGAATAGTTCAGAGGCTTGTCTCGCAGGCTGAAGGCCTTAGGTTCGGTCTTGTGTGGAGCAATGGTTGCGTACTGTGAAGAGCTCCTAACAAGGACGAAACAACCGTCTGGTACTTCCTAAACAAATTTTTCATGTCCCACGCTATGAACTACACATTGTCTATGGGATCGTACTACTATCCAGCTTAAAGTAGTTTGGGTAGAACTCGAATCCAGGACCTATTGATCAAAGGTAGAGCGCATAAGCCAGTGTGTCAAATCTCCGACATAAATAAATTTCACCGAATCTTTCATAATTAGTGCACCTCGTTCTTATGATACTTCTGATTAAAGCATTGAATTATTTTCAACTAGGCGGACATGAATATATATCCAACCACTGGTTTTTGTCAGTTTTATGAGACAAACCTCGGTCAATAATAACAAAAACATGAAGACTAGTTTATAGACAATCAATATTTCTATTACCAATATCCATAATAATTGTTTAATGAATTCAGACGGCTAAGACGAAAATGTCTTAATAACTAAATTGAAAAAGGGATATTCATTGCCATTTTTATTTTCTGAAGATGTTTTATTAATTTTTCCTATTTGAAAAGTTGCATCAGCCAGTCCCAGAGGGTTGATCGCTGACGAAATCTCAGCACGGATACAGAAAACTCGTTTCACATATGCCAGTTTATGCCATCTCTGGCGTAGACATGATATCAGACTGGCTGTCAACCGAAGAACATGTGCACTGCACAGCAGCACTTCACCCCGTCCTCCTTTATGGCTGTGAAACCTGGCCATTGAAAGTGGAAGACATGAAAAGCCTGTCTGGTTGTCTTTGATCACAGGTGCCTGCGTTCTATCTCCCGTGTGAAATGATATAATAGGGTTAGCAATATTGAGGTTAGGCTTTAGTCGGGTGCTAAGTAAAGAGGGGAAATCAATAGACGAGGCTATGAAGTTACATCGATTGAGATGGCTAGGACATGTATTACGCATGTTTAGCCATCCATAGCCTTCCTCGACACATAATGTCAGCTGACATAGGATCAATGAAGTTGGGAAAGAGTTAGCGTGGATGGTCAAACCAGAGTATGGCTTCATCAGTCAATGAAATCCACAGCAGCTACTTTAAAGCAGCCACGTAGGAAGGTGTAGACATCCTGGTTGGAGTCCTCGAGACGGTAAAAACCAATGGCGGCCAGAGACAACTGGTGATCTGGCTCAAAATTGTTCTCAATGACGGTGCAGATGCATCCACTCCTTAGGAGTAATAATATCCAATAAAACTACATGGTTCTTCAACATTGCTATTCTTTTTGCCTTAAATCTCTGTTTGCTGTCTCTGTTTTATATTTCTTTCTACTTTCTTCTCTTTTTTTACGTGTTACATGGAGTGTAGCGACTCGAACTGCTGCACATCGGTGCAAATTTCTATGTCGAAACCAGTCATTCAGTCAGTCAAAGTTTCGTATAAAGTAGAAGTACGAGATGAAATCTGTTTTCACTTATGGTATGTTACACTTTGTGATGGATAACAAAATCTC